CACTGTTTTCTCTTAATTAGCTCGAATCATTCTCTCAGTTTATCACATGTGCAGAAGTGAACAAATGCCTTAACAACTGCAAGTGAAATACACCAAGACAAAGAGTTTTGGACTGCAATAGGAAAACTGTTGTAAGATCAACCTGTGACTTCCAAAGGTGGTACATATACAAAAATCAAACAATGCTATGATTATTGTATCTGTTCTTTTATCTTCTGTCCTATATCACTTTTGAGCTTCTCTTGTTGTTAGCTTAATTGCAGAAGAATTGAAAGCTTACATTGCTTTTGCTACAATGATTGTTTTAAAGTTTGTAATGTTTATACTTGCATATATCTTGTCCCATCAGTAGTTTGTAAACATTGTTTGAAACATCTGTGTCTCTTTGCTACTGTAGCTTGTGAAAAAATTCCTCCTGAAGGAGTAATTTGATGAAAAGTCCATATAGAATTTTCATGTGACTGTGAAATACCTTGTACCCCTTAAAATGCTTTCTTATCTAGTGTCACCTAGGAATATGTGTGGACACTGAATTGCATAGAAGAAATCGTGCATTAAAACAAAAAGAAGGATGAGAGAGTGGCTGCAGTGCTGCGGCAGCAATGGTTTGGTGAAATCCATGAGATCCTAAGACGTAATTTGCATCATTGCCTGCAATCTTTGAGACAAACTGGTAACATAGTTGTTAGAACAATTTGTTTAAATTGCTTAAATGCTTTGCTTAGAATTGCTTCCTAGCTTTATTGTTCTGTTGGTATTCACGTACATATGAGGATGCTTTTATCCATGGAGGCAAGAGGTACCTGCATTATCACTCCATGAGGTAAAGATGATCGACTGCAGTCTGGGACAAACTATAGCAGGATGGCTGTCCCCGATAAGGCCTAGAATCTATCCAGAGAGTATAAGCTCTCTGTGGTGAGCTACTGGCACTGCCAGGGTGCTATTTGCATCCAGATGCAGTCTGCTTCAAGTAAGCTCCTGACTGGCCTATTAAATCTGTGACTGGCAGTTAAGTTAATCACTTTATGTGATAAAAGCACAAGTTCCTCTCACACAGTCAAGATGCAGGAATTCCAAGATTTAGAGTTCCTGTGAAATTGACATCAGACAGAGTCACATTTCATCGACTCCCTATTTGCATAAAGAAAGTTTATTTGTGAAATTGTTTAATGGTTTAAGCTCTGCTTTGCAGGAACTGCAGAGATTCATGGTGTCATCTAAGCCTATGGGACTGGACACTCCTGTTCATCTGTTCCAGACCAGGAACTGAACCTATATTAAACAATGGAACTGAAACTCCTGCAAAACAAACAAAAGAACTGTTTCAAATTCAGCAGACCATCTCCATCGTAGTCAGAGTTATTGGACCCAAAAGGAAGAAAACCTCTGTTCCTGAGACAAGTAGAACAACAGAGACTGTTACAAGGACTGTTAAAATAATGTTTAAGCTTTTTCCTGTGTGTATTATTTAATACTACTGGTAACTCATCATCATGGCTAGACTTCGCGAATGAAGATTTGGGAAGGGCTCTACCCATGTTTGTTACAAGCACGCTGGTGGCTAAAAAGGCCAATACGAGATAGACACGTCCGGTTGCAAAAGGTACAGCAGAAAGACTCCTTAGGTGGTATACTCTGCAAGACGCGATTCTTTCTGCGTTGTCTTTTCTCCTCAAGAGTGATCCTGTGTGCTTTCTCAAAAGAAGCAGCAGCATTAAAGATAGTGTGTCTCCAGACCTCCCGACTGGAGGTCAGAGTAGACCAGTTGTGTTGATCAATATGGCCAAGGCTGAGATGTTGTTTCAGGGAGTCCTTGTATCTTCTCTTTGGGGCTCCTCTCTTGTGGCAGCCAGTGGCAAGTTCACCATAAAGCATGATCTTAGGGAGGCGGGAGTCCTTCATCCTTGAGACCTGTCCTGCCCAATGCAGCTGTGTTCTCAGCAACATGGCCTCAATACTTGTGACTACTGCTTGTTCTAGAATAGATGTATTGGTCACATAATCTGACCAGTGGATGTTTAGCATTGTATGGAGACAGCGTTGGTGGAAGCGTTCTAGGAGTCGCAGGTGGTGACGGTAGATGACCCATGATTCGGAACCATATAAAAGAGTAGAAAGCACAATGACTCTGTAAACACTTATCTTTGTACTTTTCTTCAAGTGTTTATTTCGCCAAACTATTTATGGAGTTTTCCGAAAGCACTATATGCTTTTGCTAACCTGTTGTCTATCTCTCCATCAATCTTACCATCCGAGGAGATGAGGCTACCTAGGTAATTAAACTGCTGGACTGATTTGAGCTCTGATTCACCAATGGTGACATGGGGATGATGGAAGACTTCCTGAGGTGCGGCTTGATAGAGAACTTCTGTCTTCTTTAAACTGACTTCCAACCCAAAGAGCTCAGCAGTGTCTGCAAAGCAGGATGTTAAAGGCTGCAGAGCTGCTTTTGTGTGGGCAACAAGGGCAGCATCATCAGCATAAAGCAGCTCTCGGACAAGATGGTTTAAGGTCTTAGTATGGGCCTTCAGTCGCCTTAGGTTGAATAGGCTTCCATCAGTACGGTATCGAATGTAGATACTGTCCTGATCATCAAGGTCTGCCGTGGCCCTTTGGAGCTTCATACTGAAAAAGATTGTGAATAGGGTTGGTGCAAGAACGCAGCCTTGTTTCACACCATTGGTTATTAGAAAGGGCTCAGAAAGTGTGTCGCCATATCTGACTTGGCCGCACTGATCCTCGTGGAGTGAGATGTTCATTTTAAGGAACTTGGGGGGACATCCCAAATGTTCCAAAATCTGCCATAGACCTTTTCTGCTCACAGTATCGAAAGCCTTGGTGAGATCAACAAAGGTTACATAGAGTCCTTTGTTCTGTTCCCTACACTTGTCTTGCAGTTGTCTGAGAACAAATACCATGTCTGTGGTACTCCTGTTGGCTCTGAAACCACATTGGCTTTCAGGTAGAATTCCTTCTGCTATAGCGGGTATTAGTCTGTTCAAAAGTATTCTTGCCAGGATTTTGCCAGCAATGGAGAGCAGAGTAATACCCCAGTAGTTTGAACAGTCTGATTTTTCTCCCTTCTTCTTATACAAGGTGATGATGACTGGATCACGAAGGTCTGATGGTAGTTCGCCTAGTTCCCAACAACACACCACAAACTCGTGAAATTTAGCATGGAGTGCTTGGCCCCTGTGCTTCTAGACTTCAGGTGGAATTCCATCAACCCCAGCTGCCTTGCCAATTTTCACCTGCTCTATGTCCTTAAGAGTTTCTTCCATAGTAGGGGCAATATCCAATTCATTCTTCGCCGGTTGCTGTGTGATGTACTGAATTGCTGAGTCTTGAACTACACGGATGGTACTGAAAAGAGTCTGAAAGTGTTCAGACCATCAATTCAGAATGGAGGTTTTATCTGTGAGAAGCATTTGACCATCTGCGCTGAGTAGAGGGCTTTGGACCTGGTATGTAGGTCCGTATGCTCTTTTCAAGGCCTCTGTAATCACCCGGATTTGTGCATAATTGAATTTTTCCTGCTAGACTGATCCACCACTTGTTCTGGATGTCACGAAGTTTCTGTTGGAGCTTGCTGCATGCAAGACAAAAGGCTGCTTTTCTGACATGGCAAGATGGCTGAGAAAGGTGTGCTTGATGAGCAGTTCTCTTCTTCCTCAACAATTCCTGGATCTCTTGATTGTTTTCATCAAACCAGTCCTTGTTCTTCTTGAAGGAGAACCCTAAGGACTCTTCAGAGGACTGCAGGATGCTATTTTGAATATGTTGCCAAAGTGTTTCAGGAGAGGGATTGTATTAGGGAAGAGGTCCGAGATATACTGGAACTTGGAAAACTAGACACCGTTGCTACTCAACAAAACAAATATTTATTACGAAAGGTGGCTAGCAATGAAAATGGACACTCGAGAGAAGGGGAAAAGGAAGGGGGGAAAAAAGAACAAAACCAATGAGAAAGGCACGACACCCTACTCACCCAGGTGTCACTTATAAGATGGTCTTACCCACTCTAACTACTTATAAAGCCCTCTGCAGCACCTGCATTTTCTGAAGGGTTGGCAAGCTCCCACTTCAACAGGCGTCCCCGCTAACAGCAACTTGGTCCTTTGTGTAGAACCGGCCCCGAACACGGAAAACGTGTCTGCTTTTATACAATTCATTGAGCACCTCTTCCAGGGGAGGTGTGGCCAGCACCGCACCGCCAGAGGTTCCCAATCCCACCCTCTTGGTTATGTAAGTGCACCTCTTCTGCGCATGCATGAGAACTTCGGAAATCCCCTCGCGCATGCGCAGTGCATTTTGGGGGTCTTTCTTAATTGAGTCTGGGGGCGAGCCTTCCTCACTTCATCATCACTTTCTCCTCCAAATGCCCTTGACGGACAATTAACCAATCACAGGACACCAATTAAAACAGTTTATACAGAAGTTCTCCCTCCAAGGACAAATTCACTGTTTTATCAGTGAACTTGGCAGGGAGAACTATAAACTACTGCAGGTGGCTAAGGCCAAACACAGACCGAAAATATCATCATAACTTTGTCCCAGTACAGGGATCTATGGAATGATCTTCGCTTTCTATGGAATGAGCTTGCTTAACCCTGTAAGACCATCCATCTAAGAGGATACTCTAAGTAAACCTACATCCTGAGGACCTCGCTGCCACCGTCCAAGCTTGCTAGGCCCTGGCAGATGAACCTTAGGATTAAAGGGTGGGTCCAGTTCTGCGCATGCTACGTCTCACCTAAAAAATCCATTGCGCAGGCTCGAAGGCTATACCCACATCTGTAAAGCCCTGTAGCGACAGGCGAGGGTCAAAACGGCAGGTGATAAGGTGCCCTGGAAGCCGCAGACCCAACCCTGCCTATAGGCAATTCAGGACATTAGTCGCTAGACACTGACCCCAGAGATGACAGTCTCTTTCGGCAGCATCCTGAATGACCAAGTAGCCTTTTTCAAGGAGAGCACTGCTTGCTCCACACGGGAGAAGGGCCTAGAAAAGGTGGCCTAACCAAAGTTCATCTCCACCCTTCACCCGGTTGGTTAACCACGACCAATGGGCATCTTCTAATTGTGGTCAAAGATTAAGAGACAAAGGCATACACCTGCCTTCAAAGGTGTACCCAAATTGACACTAACATGCTGGAACATCAGAACCATACTTGATACTGTGGATAGTGGGCGTCCTGAGCGTCATTCTGCCCTAATTGCCCATGAACTGTCACGACTTAACATCAACATCGCTGCTCTCAGTGAAGTTCATCTCCATGAGGAAGGCAACCTTAGAGAACATGATGCTGGTTATACACTCTTTTGATCAGGTAAACCCAGAACCGAAAGGCATCTTTTAGGAGTTGACTTCATGATTAAAAACTCTATTGTTCCTAAACTCGAAAATCTGCTGACAGGTCATTCTGATTGCATTATCTCCCTGCACCTTCCACTACACAACAAGCAACATGTTGTCCTCTTTAGTATATATGCCCCAACTCTCCAAGCTGACCCTGCCGAAAAAGATAAATTTTACACCGACCTGCACCGCCTTACCCAAAAGCTTCCCACAGATGATAAGATCATTAATTACCCTTGGTGATTTCAACGCCAGAGTAGGAAAGAACTTTGAAACCTGGAAAGGAGTACTAGGCAAGCATGGCATTGGAAACTGCAACAATAGTGGTCACCTTCTGCTAGAATTCTGTGTGGAGCAGCAGCTCACCATCACCCAACACTATCTTTCAGCAGAAAAATAGTCTGAAGACAACCTGGATGCATCCTAGATCCAAGCATTGGCACCTCATTGATTATGTCTTGGTGCGACAGAGAGTTGTTCGCGATGTTCATCATACCCGTGTGATGCCTAGTGCAGAATGCCAAACAGACCACTGACTTGTGTGCTGTAAACTTAACTTCAACCTTAAGTTCAAACCTAAAAGGGGTGGTATTCCAAGGAGGAGACTCCAAGTTAACGATCTTCAATCAACTAAAGTGAGAGACAGCTTTCAGGCAAACCTTCAAACTAGGCTCGAAGATCAAATTTGAGTATATGGATCTGAATACTGTACATGTTCTGAGTCTTAGCATTTTTATATTAAATCTGCATCTGTGACATGGGATTGCATTGTACTTCCCAACATTGGAGAAACCGTTAAAGGCAAATATATAGTAGACCATGAATCCAGCACATACTATGATACTTCTCTCTCTTTTTTTTTTTTTCAGTAGTACTTTTCTTTTTTTTCATGGTTGGGGGGGGGAGTTTGTTTTGGGGTTTTTGTAATTGTTCAGGGGCTAGTTTGAATCTTGGTTCTATTTTGTCTAAGTGAGTTTTTCTTACAAAGATGAAATGAGTTTGGTTTTATCTTGAAGAACCTCTCCATTGCTGTGTTAATGTCTTGGATTTCAATAATAAAAGTGACAGTGTCACTTAAAGGCACTCAGCCTGAATTTAGGCAGATAGCTTTGAACTCCCTGAATGGCTGGTGAAGGGAGAGAGGTCAGACTTCAACTCTTCCAAGAGTGATTCACTGATGCCTTTCATTATCTTTGTAGACATCCCTGAATATCAGCTGAAGCACTTAAGTCTGATGTCTGGTGTAAGATGGTGAAAATATCCTTCACTGAAGGATACAGTCATATTCTGAAGGACTGAAAAGTCAGACTTGTTTATGCACAAATGTCTCAAGGAACGGGAGGGAAGAGGTGGATGTGCCAGAGAGGGGCCTGTCAGTCCTGGAAGATTCTGAGCATGACAGCTTAGTACATATGTGCACCCATTCACCTTGCTCTCCTGCTACTTCTAGAGAAACAAGCATTTTTATTTCTCTTGTAGTAGAAAATGCTTTGAAGCTACTACAAAGAAGAAATGGGCAAAGTTTTATCTACATAAAGAAGCTTTAGTCTTTATGGCACTGACCCTTTTCTCAAGAGTCATAAAACCCAGGTGTACTACTGCAGAGGAGTGCATAATCATTCCTTGTCCATTAGCGGAGATGGGTAAAGAAAAAACCACACATGCAAGCAAAGCAAAACAAGGAATTAATTCACTGCTTTCCACTGCCGAGGAAGTGTTCAGCCATTGTTAAAGGATAAGGCGCTGCCTGAACATTCTCACACCATTCAAGGAGTCATGTACACTCCACCAGAGACTTTAGCTGCTAGACCCAAAACAGGCCACTGAATTCAGCGGGCAGCTCCAGTGAGCCGATGGGTGCCCTTTTCAACTCCTCGCTGACACACACACTCACTCTCTGGCACGCTTCCTCCTTCTTCAGGCTCGACCCTAGCTTTCTGATAGCAGATTCTCAGGCATTGGATTTATAAGAAATAAATAATTTAATAGAGTGGTAGAGCAGCAGGTCAACTTGAGCTGGGTGCCTCCAGAGAGGGACCCAGAACAAAGAAATCTCCAGTCAATTATACCCTTATGACTTTGATGCCTTGAAATCTATATTATATAAGATTTTAGTATACCTCATTAGAACTTTTAGGTTGCTAAGTACCTTTGTACAAGAGTCCTAAAATGCTGCTTAACATTCTTTGTTAAGAATTTCAACAAACAAGGGGTTTTAACAAGGTGAAGCGTTTTCTATCTGTAAAAATGTACTGAGAAAGAGCCATAACACCTGATATAACTAGTCAGAGCTATTCAGAAGCCTTGAAACCATTCCAGAATGCATGATACTGTGCCAAAGACCAAGGAACAAGATGAGAAGAACGAAGATAAGGGGTCTTTGGGACCTCCAACTCAAATTCGGGAGACATGTCGAGGGTGGTACTAAGGGAGGGTTTTGGAAGTGGGTGTAATAGTATTAGGTAATGCTTTGAATTATTAATTAGGTAACTAAAGCAAGAGGCTTTTGTAACTCTGCATGCACACTTTTGAAGAAATTAGATTCTCGTGCATCCGATGTTGTAATAATAAAAGGAATGCTACCTTTTAAAACTCACAAAGTGAGACTTAGGCGGTTTCTTTTAAGAGCCAGTTTTAGGCATCAACTTATGCACCCACGTCTCACTCAGTGTTCACGTGCCTTGCATGCGTCTCTTGGTCCAATGGTGATTTTTGATCTGGGGTCTTCTAACACCTTATTGAGTTCTTTCTCTGTCTCCATGCAGGCAGGCTGTTGACTGTTCTTGTTGAGTTGCAGCTTCTGCTGATGGTTGTAATCTCCTTATCTTCTGGTTTGGGCTTCTGGTGTACCTGTGTGACGGCAGAGCATAGCAAACTAAAAAGTCATAGAATCATAGGAACATAGAAAGACTTAGGTTGGAAAGGAACCTTAAAGATCATCTAGTTCCAACCCCCCCACCATGGACAGGGATGCCACCCACTAGATTAGGTTACTCAAAGCCCCATCCAACCTGGCCTTGAACACTTCCAGAGATGGGGCAGCCACAACTTCTCTGGGCAAACTGTTCCCGGGCCTCACCACCCTCACAGTAAAGTGTGGGGGGAAGTGGCAGCTCCACAAAGCCCCTGAAGCTTGAGGAGTTTGAAATATTGGATAGTGTTAGGCCATTTCCCATGAGAACAGTAAGGCTAATTGGATGTTCCCATGGACACAGCCTTGAGTTTTAAGGAGTGCAAGGACAAAACTGTTGACTGTGTGCAGGTGTTACATTCCTAAGTGTTTTTGCAAGAATATGTTTATATTCTGTGTGTGAGAAAGTAGAAACCGGCGAACTCAGTAAAGCCTGCCTGCTGCTCAGAAGCGGCGGACACCCCTTGTCTCATCACTCTGTTCGTGTGTGTGTGTGTTCTTTTCTTCACAGACCAAAACCTATCGACAGATACCCCACGATAGTAAAGAATTTCTTCCTAACATCTAATCTAAATCTCTCCTCTTTTAGTGTAAAACTGTTCCCCCTTGTCCTGTCACTTTCTGCCCATATAAAAAGTGCCTCTCCCTCTTTTTTAAAAGTCCCCTTTAAGTACTGTGTAGCACTAAATCTGCATTATATGGGAAAACGACTGTTTAAACATGTCTTAAAATGGCTTTTGGTGGTCTCTTTGCAAACACATGCTTCTTC